ACTTCATAATAACATAATGCAATGGATAATATGCAGGTATACCTAAATTGATGTGACGTAGACTGTGATGTAGAGAAACATTAGAGCAAATACAATTTAGACAGTATGAGAATATTGTCTAAGAAATACGATAACAACTTCTAAAAAAAGTCCATAATAATTTCTACTTTTCCATTGATGGTAATCGCATGAATATTATACATTATTCTACACATACATGAACTATATATTTATATTATATAAATGGCACCTACCAATAAATGCGATAACAAATTCCCATGCTAACGAGTATTCACATTTATAGAAGGACAGTGTCAAGAGGGCTCGTTGCATCTAAGTGCGCAACGGGACAACCTTCGTCATTGCACATTATAATAAATATGATATATAATATATATAGGTAATATCAAATATATGGGTGTATATAGCAAATAAACATATTATGGAATCTCGTTATATATGCGCGCAAAACTCCCCACTCATCGGCGTCACCGCCACTCTTTTCGTCCTGTATAATATGTTTAGTTTCCCTTTATCATATATTCATGTATATAAATGTATGTGTTATGTTTTACGCATTTCTTTCAAACTGTCTTCTCGGGACTCGGGAGACGAATAATTCCTCGTACCTATCCTGTTCCCGAATCCCTTACGTGTACTCAACCATCACCAGAATAAACTGTGCTATACTTCTCTTATTTTATTTAGTGTCTTTATTTTTCGACGAACATGCGTTGAATGCACTACCATCGTATGTGTTATAATAATAATATATAGCGTATAGGAGTTTTCCGATGATTTATATAATACTCGTATTTACATACTTATACATTGGTGTACGGGAATATAACTCTTGCTACACAACCTGTAACGTTGCTCGTTGGGCGTCGATAAGATGTGTAATCGCAATCATATTTTTTGTATATCGTTGTTGTAGGACTGGGAAACTCGTCGAAATAAAAAACAGAAATCACTCATCGGATTACGTAATAATTGACACAATATGAACGCAATAATTCAAATAATAATATAATATGTATATACTATACAGACGATTTAGGTTTTAGATTATAAAATTCAAGTATTGATATTTAATGAAGCGTGAATTATTGTTAATACTGCGCAGAAGTTCAATTTAAATGTAAAATTATTGAGATATGAAATTTAATAATACATTATTTAATTGTAAGCATGATGTTACTGTGCAGCGTTTAACGTCATACTAAAAACGACGTTTTAATGTTTGAGTATGACAAAATGACGTCTGAGACAACATGTTTACTATTTTATTATACTATAATCGCACCAATACATAATTGCAGGCGTATAAATGACTCAAGGGGCACACTGTTAGTGCCGGAAGTAATCATTAGGTCGATCATTTTTATGTCGTATTTCAAAAATTTCGGACGCATTCTATAGGTATTAACATATGGATATTTATTATAGACTTATGTATATTTGAATAATTTGAATAAGATAAGACAAACGTAAAACACGCCATTAAATTTTCTACTATAGTATATACACGGTTAGGTATCACACAAGACAATTTAACGTCATGTATTATAATATGGTCATAGGCCCACGCGTGGACCGTGGTATACCATTATACACATCACACATAACAAGAATTTTCATCAGTGTATTAAACAGAAAAGAATATTTATTATATACGTAAGATATAAATGTGGTGGTAAATAGGGAAAAAAAATCTCCAACGGAATAAGATAAATTAATGGTGTAGGAGAGAAAAAAAGATGAAGGTTCGACGATGCCGACGACGACGACGACAAAATGGCATCCCATGGGAGATGGTGTACGCGCACAGGGGAGATGCGTAATAAGACACATGGGGTTTGTTTTCTTTGTCGATCGGGGTGGGGAGGGTGCGTGCTATTTTTATCTCTTTCAGGCCATATTTTTTCCGCCTACCCCGCACTGCGCGTTATAGGACGTGAACATAAAAATCTTTAGGAGCAGACGGTTTTTCTTTTATATACATTCGACGGTTATAATACCGACAAACCGCCACTACCGTCGTCTCGACGCTACCGCTGCAGCGCTTCAGTGCAGTGATTAGGAGGGTGTGCGACTGGTGGAAGTGGTCGGTCGGAACGATGTAGTATTATAGTATACGTTATATAGTATATATTATATAGCATCATCCTATTCGGATCTTCCTTTGCCGCCGTTAGGAAAGAAACGGAGAAATGAATGACAAAAATAAAAAACCCAAAGAAAAAATACAGCCCATGATGATGATAATAATAATAATAATAATAACCTACGCTGAATACGCGTATCTGCTGTTATTAAACGTTTCGCACTGGAATATCTCTGCCGTTTTACATCGCCGTGCTATAAATTACATACAAATATAATACGAGACGTGTACAGTCGGTTTTCTCATTATTTTCATACTTTGTCTGACATTGGAAAAAAAGTAACTAAATAGATAATATTACAAATAGAAATGGAAATATTTTTAGTTAATACTTTTTAATTTTGTTATCTATAAGTATATATTTATATGTTATTGTGATCATGGCCAAAAATTTTGGGTATACAATGAAGTTATCATCAAAGCTAGATAAAACATAAGTTTTTCAAATTTGAATCTTATTTTAATTTATTTTTAACTTTTAAACTTTTTCAAACCTACAAAATTGTTACTTTAACAAATTTAAAAATATAATAGTAATAAACAGTGTTTATAGTTTATACTTAATAAGAAAAAAAATTTCTGCATAACTAGGCATTTCAAACTTAAAGTTTTTCACTGTTTGAATTTTTTAAAGTTCAAAGTATATTCGAAAGTTTGAGGAATTTGAAAATCCGTCCCTAAATACATAAATAAATATACATGCTACGTATTATATAGTGTTGTATTTCAGATATTATATAATATATAAGTAGAAAAATAAAATGCATTCCGGCAAATTGTTAATATTATGATAATTTATAATTTTAGTGAGTTTTATTATGGCTATTACGTGTATATATTTATCAAAAATTGTTATAATATTATGGTTCACTCATTGAGTAATCGATTTCATTTAAAAAGGTATACTCTTATATGCATAAAAAAATATATTTACTAATACTCTATAACACTAAGAAATCCTACTTTCTATGAAAAAGCACGAAAGAAATTTGGCAAATACTAACGACGAAAGATATATTAGGATATTTTATGAATTTAGTATTTGTAGGTAATAAAATATTTTATATGTAGTATATGATTAGTACTGTAAAATTTTAAATAGTGCGGAAAATGAAGCACACGTAAAATTTTTAAATTTTCTAAACACTACGCATACATGTGTCTATTATTTCATTAAAATCTCGAAAGCACATCATCTAATATATACAATACTCGAGATTTTCTTTTTTTACTACCTGTTATAATAATTGGTGACGTATTGACATGTATAATATTATATACACGTGTTCCACAGGCAAATATTAAAAATATGAATGGCGATAATTTGGTTCGGTTAATTTGACGAGTAGTAGAGGAGTTTTTCTGTGAAAGGCTCAAATAGGGTCAACCGGGTAAATATAAATGGTGAAAATGTTTATTGTATATTATATTTACGAGTATACGTAGTAAGCATTCGCAGTAGCAACACTCGGACCTAGTAAAAATGTGAATAGTCGTTGCATGACGTATACCTCCACTACAAACGATTTATTTCTATTTTTTTTACTCACTCTTACATTTTCTCTTCATAATATACCAATATTATGAATACTATTTTCTTTCATTTATTATCTTGCTAACATACACATCGTACTTTTTTTTTCTTCCCTACCACCACTGAGACGTGCCAACCAAGTTTATAGTATTATAACGATTCAATTAATAACATTATAAATTCTTGATGATGTCATCAATAAAGTAGATTTATTTATTATATGATGAATATAAACCTACCCAGTGGATTAATAAATTTACTGATATGTTTTTCATACTACATAGTACATCTATGCCCTATGGTCGTGTAAACATTATGTACTAGGGAAATTATATTTATTCACATGTAAGTAGGAAAAATGTTTGAATTTTTATGTTAAAATATTTACTAGACTAACCTATAATAGTTTCTGATAAAAAAAAAAAAAAATCGCATTATACGTTTTGAACAATATTGTTATTTTGGGGTATTTCACAAATGATTTGACTATTTTTTACGTTGATTACAATAATATTTAGTTAGTAACATTCAGCTATAACCCTTAAAGTTTAAACTACATTGAGTAGCACATTATAACGTTTTTATTTAAGGTACTTAATTTTTGATTATTTTGATTACGAGCACATTTTAATCTCGATAATGAATAGTATCGTACATAAATACCGTTTCACTTTAACCTCAGTCATTTAAATAATTACCCTGGATTTTTTGCCGTCTAATTTAATTCTTCCAAACAATCTGGAAATGCTCTTTGAAGTTTCAATCAGTAATTATGTTTTTATAGCGGGATGTCGTACAATATTTGTTGTTTTTCGTTCTACCGATTACATGAAACAAAAATACCGAGTGCTTGTGGTGTTTTAATTGGTTCTGGGGGAGGATAACGTTAGATAAAAGGCGAAAGAGCAGAAGTTTGTTCAAAGCACCCCACCCGCTGGGACGGCTTATTAGTGTGCGGATCTCTTTGTGGTATTTAAACCATTCCGTTATAAAAGTATTGGGGGAGAGAGCATAACAGAAACGAATGATTTTTTTCCTAAGTGCTAAAGTCGACCAAAAATAAAGAGGGTGAGAGAGCATTAGTCTTTCTATTTTTTTTTTATGCCAAACACAACACGACGGTTGGAAGTATAAATAGCCTATTATCATCTATTGTAATATATTAAAATATAGAAACTATGAAAACATCTGTATTGATGCGTTATGCAATTAACACAAGTCTAAACTATTTTAGGTTAATAAATTTTGGATAAACAATATCAAGTTAAGTATGAATTTAGTAATAATTATCAATCTTACCTGTCGATGATGACTGGATCAGATGGCGTTTCGTTTCTGTTGCCGCAACTTTTCTTATCACAGCATCGACTGCAAACGACATGATGTATTATAATACAAAATAAATACTAAAGAGACTTATATATATATATTGTACATACACGACATGTTCGTAGAACTAACTATTATTACACCGCACCTGTCCCCCGGGGTTTTGGCCCCCCTTCGGTCTTATAAATACGCGCACAACCCCTCACGCGAAGTCAGCTATTGATGGTTTTGTTTACGTTGTATGTACGCGCGTATACTTACGTACAAAATAGCATTGAACCACGTGCATGACTCGGCAAACTTTTCCCCCCAAGTTAGTTTGTGTGATGTGTGTGTGTGTGTGAGTGTGCAAACATTATACACATAAGAGACTGAAGGAATGTCGTTGTGTCGGGGAGGAGCGTGTCAGCGGCCATAATATTTGACCGATAACCGATTCATCAATATATTACTATTGTTATTATTATCACGGTTATATGGTCGCTAACCTATGCCGCCGTCTTTGGCACCTATAAAATGGGGTCGGCTGTTATACCATAATAATAACAATAATAATAATAATAATAATAATAATAATAATAATATCTGCGCACGGTTATGGTGTAGCAGTATGCTTTTAGGATAATACATTGTTAAGGTAAATGTATTAAATATTGTATTCATCAATAATAATAATATGTTACCTGCACATGACTTCGTGCGTTAGCAGCACCCGGCACATCTCTGGATTCTTGTCTTGACCCTCGTAAATGATGGCCTGTAAAATGACAAAATAAAAATAAAGTTTATAGTAACACATGTGTATCAAAAATAAAATAACAATAATAATTGCTATTATATTAATTTAATGTGGAAAAAACACATAGATCTTTTGTACAAAATACGAGTATTAACACGACGAATTTAAAGAGGTTATACGGCAGCTGGGCGTGTGGAGTTTTCCCGTTTTTCTGTAGGCGTTAAATAAATTATATTATAAAATAAAATATATGTAATGTAGGGGAATATATCCAGGTCTATCCCGTGCAACGCATATATAATTCATAATGCGGGCGTTTGATCAAAATAGGCTCAATGAGTGACATATTTTTTTTTTAAATTATGTGTATTTTCTTATTAATATTATAGAATATTCTAAATACCTCATTTATGCTAAAACGGTAAGAATTCTTCGAATATTATAGAATACATAACATTTTTTACGTATACTAAGTAAAAAAAAAGTTATGATTAATAAACCAAATAAACAGTATTCGTTAAAAAAAAAAAAAAAAATAGAAAAATTAACGCAGATGCCTTAAAATACATATAACAGATAATATGTCTATACCGTATATTTTAATTTATAGGCATGCACACCCATATATTATATATATTTATATCATGAATTTGCACTCGGTGTAGCACAGTAGGTACATAATATAATATACGTGCGATATATAATATATCGTGCTGCAGCAGGTCTCCATCGCGCGGCGAAACCGAAAAGGTTAATATTTTATGTCCTATAATGGAAACAATTAAAAAAAGAAGGAGCCCTCCGAGAGCTTATGTAACATATTAAAGTAGCTTAATGGCATTAGCGTTCTGTAATAGATTTTTAAACAATATTCTCTCCGGCGGCCAGGCGCGCACGCGAGGGGATCGTCGTCTGTGATGGCAGGGTGAAATAACGTTGCGGCGGTACACGGTGCACATATAATATATGTATAAGACGGTTAATCCGGAGGTCTTAGGCTCGCCAGAATCAGGGGCACAAGCAATTTTATATATATAAATATACACCGTGTACGGTTCCCGGGCTTTGTGCTACTGTGCGCCACCCCACCCGCTGCTGTAGGATTTACTCGGCAGCACCCACCCTTTTTGCGGTGGACCAATAAATACCGTCTAATTGAATATATGCATATGCTGTGTATACTTACATATTTATCTATATACATAATATAAGTAAATACGATAGTGCATGAGCGGGTGCCTAAGTTTACATGAAATGTTTGCCATCCTAAGTTTTTTTTTTTGTAGTTAATTTACGATAATAATTAATAATAATATTATGTATAAGTATATACATGAAATATACATACGTATCATGCGAATCATTCAAAGTTATTCGACAGAATACTATATAATACTATTATAAAATATAAAATCTAAACGCTTTGTGTGCCAAATTCACTGTGAATTTCTCTGCTATTGGATCGGCAATTATTATTTATGGTCTTAATATGTGGGTGTTGAGTAAACATATCGAAAAAGTTTTGGAGTGACATATATAGGATATGAACAATGGGTGTGTGAAACCGTAATAAATGTTACAAATAGACAGTTTGACTTTGAACGAGCCGATGAGAAATTGGAGGTATGAAAATATGTTTAGGAATTTGTAACTATCATTGCGACCATAATATATATATTATATTCCTAGAAATCTCCTTTGAAGTAATGTATTCCATGAACAATATTAAATGGTGGAAACACAAAGTAGACGCGTTGGTGCCCGCTTCAGGAAGTTTTAATGACTTCTAGGTAGGTATATTATATAGTGAAATTGGCTTTACTTAAAGTTTGCGATCAAGACAGGCGCGGAGGTGGTTAATTAACGAGACCAGACTGCGGTAATATGCTGCGGCGTTTTGATAAATAATAACAATAATTATAATAATAATAATGAACTATTATACTTTTTTAGTAATTATATATATTTTTAAAAATATTTTTTAACGCACATCGCACACAACTGATTACAAGTTTACCAGTACCAAACCCTGTATGTTTCGATTCTCAATCACTGTTGATTGATGCTCGCATCATGATGTATAGGATGGGTACAATTTATGTTACACCTTTAAACTGTACAATGAAGATAGAAACAAATGTCTATAAAATATTATTATATTACATGAATTGCTTGCATAAATCGCAGATTTTTTGTAAACACTGCAATGTTGTCTTGAAACGAGTTGTACTAATGTCTTGATTGGTAGTAGAATATACATTTTAATGGACTATCAAAATATGCAGTAAATGACGAATTTAAAATATTTTCTGCAGTATATATTAAAATATAAAAATAATCCAATTTTTTTTAACTACAGTGGTCGACGGATAAACAACCCAGATCAAACATAATATTATTATGATAATTGATAACTATCTATATTATTATTGATATGTGGGCATATGAATATATTGTGTATACCATAATACTATTTAGTATAGCATGGTAATATGGTATCTATCACATTCTATAATTTGGTGGAATAAAATAGTGATGGTTTACCTCATTGAATAGGTTAAATGGTTATGCTTATCGTATGCATAAATCATTATAGAACATAATAATATATAATATGCGACGTATATCCAAATGACTGCAGTAGTGGGTATATTTACTATCTACTATATTATACCTACTTTACTATTAGTGTATAGATCAATAGTGTAATGTAATAATTGTGCTCTGTTGAGACAATGAAGCAATACGATTTTAAATCCCACAATTAAAACATAAATTCGGACGAATATATAGTATTATACTCATTCGTAAGATAGACATTTGTTGTACGATTTATTATTTTTTGGATCGTCGTAGTGAGGCGCGTACTACTGGCGGTGGTCGTAAAGTAACTGAAAGCACGCGCGCACGTATAATGTATATGATATACGGTGTACATATAAATACAGAGGAAATAACAATAATAATAATAATAATAATAATAATAATACGTAATATATTATAATAATATTATTATGCCGTTGTGTCGCGAGAGCGTGTAAAACGGTGGGCGCGGGGTTGTGCGAGTTTGCGGCAGTAAGTCGTCGTCGTACCTATATTACTTATACGCACACGCACACGCAATTTATACACATAATAGGTATATTGTATACGCGTACTTGTACAGTAATATAATAATATATACGTGAACGGACGCGCGCTACTTGGCAACGCGAAACGGATAGATAAGCGCGTTGTAATTCGCATTGGCATTATCGCGTGCACATCTCTGTCGCGGCCCCGCCACCGCCTCCGGGCCAGCGCCTTGCTCACACGCTCGATGTACGCAATAACATACATTTATATACGTACATATAAGTATATATTAGGTACATATATGTATGTGAATATGTGTGTGTGTGTGTGTGTGTGTGTGAGCGAGTGGTGTTACGATGTGTGTAAAACACTATCAAAACTTCACACAAACACGCACGCACTCGCTTATGTGTAATAATATGCACACTTGCATCTACTATATATATATATACAATATACATACATGTGTGTGTGTGTGTGTGTGTGTATTATACATCCGCAGCGTTATAACCTTTATACACGTTCGGACTGCCAAAAAGGGGGGAGGGTGTATTTGATGCGCGGAGAAGGGCGATGGTATAGTGATGGTACCGAAGAGATAGGGTTAATAATAATATAATATTGTCGTGTGTACACGCACTCGTGTGCGTGTATGTGTTCATATTTAGTGCTATTTATACTATGTGTATACACATATACAGAGACGTAATATCACATTGTCTTTACGCGTGTGCGACATCCACCCCTCTCTCCCAACCAAACCAATACCCCTTGGCCAGGACTCGCAGTGCTGCAATAACCCGCGCGAGTTATATTATACAGAAACTATGTATCCCAGACGAGAAATTCGAGTATAGTAGATATTATTATGTATACATATATAGGCATCTATGCGCCAGTCACTGTAATATACATCCGACCTAAATATACAACACGCGTGTAGATTCGTGATACGAGCACAATATCTCGTCATTCTGCAGCAGTGTCCATCGTAAATGTAATAATTATGGAAATATATATAATATACTTATGTATGTATAAGATTACTTTTGATATACAAACCACATACGCGTTGTATCCAGTGTGTATTGTTATAAAACTGTACCTATCACGCAGGTCTTTATAATATATTACGTTAATATTCCATATGTATTCACAGCTGGCGAATCATCTCAAGTTATACTTATATTTGTCGAATTTCATTTGGGAAGGGGAAATATATATTGGTAATATTTTAATTTTACACATTCCGATTACTACATGAAATCTATTTATTAACGAATAATAATAATTTATATTTTTAATATCTATAAGTTTGTTGTATTTTTCATATTAAAATAAATGATATACAAATACGTATTTACTCGTTTATTTCTATATTATAGTTATGTCGCTGTAAATCGTTATAATATTTAATGGATTGACACACACTGCAGAAGACGACTAAAATGAATATTCATGATGAAATCTGTAGAGAGATTTGATCGAGTGAAATTATCAAACGTTATTTGTTTTTAAACAATTTAAGCAATTTGTACACTACATTTTTGAACCTGAGTGCAATTCGAATATTTTAGATAAGGTAAGGAACGCAGTTCGACAACCACCCTCATTTCTGTGGCACGCTTGCTTAATATATTACAAAATATATTTTTTTTGTGTTTTATACGTACCGCATAATAACGTTTATTAAAATTAAAATTAACATAGGCGTAACTATAATATGTTGCAGAATCGCGGAGGATCAGAAATACTATAACCGTTAAATATAATGTTCCAGAACGATATTTAGAGGTTTTATTTTATGTTTATAATAAAGATTTGTTTTATTTCTGATGCGGAACAATAAGTGCATATAGTATATAAGTAAGAACGAAAAATAGCGTTATAAGCGAGGGACTATATACTATTTTATTATGTTTCCTGATGGAGTAGAACTGTTT